TCTCTAGCAATGAAAAGAGAACCACTACGTGGGGCCAGCCGATGGCATAGCAGTTATGTCCCACATGCCAACCACGGATAGATCTGACTCATGACTTGAAAATCACACGGGGGATGGGTGGGGAACCAGCAGGTGGTGTGGTGGACACTCCCACATGGCTGACCACGGTTCAAGTCCCAGACCTGGTGGCTTGCTTTCTCACTTTCTCTCTCTCACTCTCTCTCTCTCTCTCTTATCAAATTAAAATAAATAAATGAATAAATAAAATTAAATAAATACTTTTTAAAAAGAAAGAAAATCAGGCTGGGCACGTGTGCATACATGTCCAAAATTCCAGCAGGAAAAGGGATTGTGGTGTGGCCATCCCCCCTAGGGGGTGATTTCTCACTTTCCCTTTTTCTGTGTCTGTCTCTCTTAGAGGAGCTCACATGTCCTAAGGCAAAAACCTCTAACAAAAAAATAAAAACAAATAAGTAAATAAAGGGAAAAAACTACAGAGGTAAGCCCATGGTACAATGGTTAAGCAGCTGGTCCCACATGACCACCCATGTGGTTCAAGCCCCAGACCTGGTAGCTTGAAAAACACACCATGTGAGTGTGCGTGTGTGCCCAAAATCCCCAGAGGAGAATGGAAGAGAAGAGATTGAGGTGTGGCCATTCCCCTGGATGGGCTATCTCAATCTCTCTCTCTCTCTTCTCTCTCTCTCTCTCTCTCTCTCTCTCCTCTCTCTCTCATGAGTGCATGTACCCAGTAGGACAAAAAAAAAGTAAATGCTGTATACATATATCATATTGCTTGAAAATACATCTTAAGACAAAAATATACATTTACCCTCATAAATATGTACAAATATTATGTTCGTGAAAAAATTAAAAATAAAAATAAATTTTATAAAAAGAAAGGAAATAAAACATGGCGAGAAAGTTGAATGTCCCCAGGGAAGCGTTTGTTACCTTGGTGAATTCATTACCATCCTGGGTCCAGACATTAGCTCAGAAAGCAGCGTCGTTAGCCCTGCGCACAGTGGCATCTCTGCAGAGCAGACACACGTTAACCAGGCTCCTGAGACTGATATTTCAAATCAGATGCCAATTCATTAATTTATAAGGGGAAGCAGAGCTTCGAAGCAGACAGGCTCTTCCTGCTCACCGATGAGTGCATTCTCTCCCTGTGGGCGGATCTACATGGGAAACAGAGCTGTTCGCAGACAGTTGCTTGGTGATCCAGAGCCTGAGTGAAGTGGGGGGTGACTTGGGTGTCTTCAATGCCTCCAATTCTCCTACTCCGGGACCAGGATCTTGGTCCCCAGAGAATGCTAGGAGGGACGCAACTGCTTATGGCCTTAACAACTCTCATTGATCTCTGGCTTCTTTGCATGCTCAGACACTTGGCTGGTACCTCCTTTCTTTTTTCTTTCTTTCAAAAAATATTTATTTATTTATTCATTCATTCATTCTGATAGAGAGAGAGAGAGAGGAAGTCACCTCATGCCGTGACCCACCCCCAGCTTCAGCCAGCCTGGGACATAGGCACACACATGCCCAGTATGGACAGGGAGGCCTCAGAGTGGGGACTCGGGACCTTCTGTGTGAGTCCAGATGCATTACTGCTGTCATGCACTGTGGTCAGGCCCACCATGGTCTGGCCCTAACACCTTCTCTGTTCAGCTGCATTAATAACTCTGTCAAGTTATCCTCTAGACCACAGCGTGGGTCTGAGCGTTAGCATATTACTACTTTAAAATACAAATTTTGGGGGGCAGCAGGTGGTGTAGTGGTTAAGATGCTGGATTTCCACATGGCCAACCATGTTTTGAGACAGAAAGCAAGAAATTACCCCCTGGGGGGATGGCCACACCGCAATCCCTTCTCCATTCTCCTTTTGGGATCTTGGGCAAGTATGCACACACACCAGGCGTGAGTTAAAGCTGCCCTGTCCAGGACTCGAACCATGGTCGAGTATGTGGGAGCCCAGCAATGTAACCATTACAGCATCTACTGTTGTCCAGATAGATTATACTCTCAACAGGGTCTTGTTAGCACAATCTACCCCAACCTCGGCCTGCCCCAGATCATGGACATGCATGTGGCCAGAGTACTCAGGGAGGTCTCTGGAGGTGAACCCAGAAACGTTCCGTGTGAGTCACGGCATTTTACCACTGTGCCACGTCTAGCCCTGGCACACTTCCACTTTAAGGCATTAGAGGTTCGTGTCCAGTCTCTCAAGCTCTGTTCTAAGCCTGCACTGATGGCAGCGAACGAGGCTGACATTTGCCCCTGCCCTCAGTGAGCTGACTGTCCGGTGAGGAAGACAGACCTTAATCAAACAGGGGGAGGCGAAGTGAGGACCAGCTGGTGGCATGGTGGTGGAGACGGCTGGATCCCACGTGGCCGACTGCATGGTTTGTCTAGACCTGGCAGCTTGAGAAACTTACAGGCATGTGTGTGTGCCCCAGATCCCGAGAGGAGAATGGAGACGAGATTGCTATGTGAACTTTGCCCCTGGGGATGCTTTCTCACTTTTCCTTTTCTCTCTTTCTCTCTGCAGGGGACACACACACACCCTATGGCAAATTAAAAAAAAAAAAAAAATTAAAAGTATGCAAGTGAAGGAGCAGTCTAGCTCTCAGAAGACAGCTTAATATCTTTTCTCAAAGTCTTGAGAGGGACTTCTCCTGGCTGCCCCCAGGTACTATCTACAACAATGAAACCGAGAGAGAGACTGCTGAGTAGGGTCTCTAGTCTGGTTAGAGGACGGAGGTCCACTCTCCAAGCAGATTCCCAGCCTCCTGTGAATTCTATACCACAGATTCTTCCAATAAAGTCATTTTCTGATTAAATTGATCTAAGGTTGGTTTCTGTCATTTGGAACCAGGAGCCCTGAGTAGAGCAACAAGCATTGTAGACATCTCTGGGCCAGAGAGCAAGATGAATCTCCTGCCTAGGGCTGCAGCCAGACCCGGCACGCACCTTGCTGATCGGTCCTGGAACCTTGCTGATCGGTCCTTCCATTCATCACAGAGCAGCCTCCCCAGTCTGTCTCAGCAAAATCTGGTTGACCGATCGATTGCCAAACATCTGTCAGCAGCTGTACCAGGTGCTGAGATGAAAAGCAAGCAAGTACCAGCATGTGGCGGAGTGGTCGAGGTGCTGAATCCCACATGGCTGTCCAGGGTTTGAGTCCTGGACCTGGGGCTTGAAAATCACACCAGGTGTGTGTGTGTACGTGCCCAATATCCTGAGAGGAGAAGGGATTGTGTGTGGCCATCCCCCCAGAGGGAGTGGGGGTAATTTCTCACTTTTTCTCTCACTGTCTCTCTCTGTCTCTCTGGGGAATGAATGCACCCTATGGCAAAATATATATACATATATTAATCTAAAAACAAAAACAAGCTAGAGCTAGACCTGCCTTTGTACACCAGACTCAGCATATCCAAACGGAGGGTGTCATCTTCCCTGCCTCCTCTCTCAAACATCTGTCAACTCACACCTGTGTCCCATGCTCCAAGCCACACAGAGCTGCTTACACCTCACTTCTGCCTGCTGGGTGCGGGGCAGGAGAGAAAGAGAGACAGCAGGCACTGGGGCTAGGGTAGAGACACCACTCCTCCATCCCACCTATTTGCTGCAATCCCAATTTACTTTCTTTGGGCTCTGAGGTTTCCTCTTTCACCAAAGGCAGCTGTGAAGAAGGTGACAGGAAGAGGTTATATTTCCATCACTTTGACCCGATACCTTCGAAGGGCAAAAAGCTTCAAAGGACTTAGCCCTACAGCTAGTGAGCAGCAAAGCAAGAGACTGAGTGGTTTCCAGACTCCAAATCCCCATCCACTTTCCATGATTAGTACAACTCCTACAAAATGTTTTCTGTGGGGTTGAGGGAGGGGGCGCGGCTCAGCCTTGGCCTGGGTGGTGGTAAGGGAAGGGGGAATCGCTTCCCCTCCTGGCCCAGTCCCCTTTCCTAGAGGATCTATATTTTTCATTTTTCCTCTAATTTGTCCTATAAGGCGCGTGCGTTCACTAGAGAGAGAGTAAAGTGAGTAGCATCCTCCGGGAGTGGTGGTGGGGGGATGGCCACGCCTCAATCCCTTCAATTTCCGAACTCAAAGCCCAAAAATCTTCACTGTTCAGCTGCCATCCAGGTTTGAGCCACCGAGCTAAAGCAACGGGCCAACGGATGATGAGGGCCGCCAGGTGGCGCTATGGAGTACGGTCGTCCCCCGCCGCGGGTCGGACGCACCTGAACCGAGCAGGGTGCGCCGGGGAAGTAGGCTCGCAGGGTGCGGCAGGGAGTAGCCCTATTCCCCAGCCCAGAGAGAGCACGGAGCGCAGATTCAGTTCGGAGAGCGCCCGCACCTTCCTAGCCACTCCACAGGCGACCTCCAGGCTGCACCAGCTCGCCTCCCGCTCAGCGCTTTCCAGCGTGCAATTTATTTGGGGCGCTACGTGGACTAGAACAGAGCCAGAGAGCATAGCCAAGAGGTGGGGCTGGGCCCACCTGTCGACTGCCGGGAGGGGGACGGGTCGGAGGCGGGGCCTGTCCCATAGGGCCCGCCCCCCGGCCCCCGAGTCCCGGGCGCGCGACGAGATATAAGGCAGCCGGGAAACAATGCGCTTGCAGCTCGCGCTCCCGCGCCGATCCCGGGAGCGTCGGGGCTGCCGTGCGCGAGCGAGGGAGG